TCTGAGTGCGACCCCCCCTTATACATTAAACACACTTTTTAATATATATTTAACACCATTATAAATGCTGGAGGCAAAGCGGGGTTTGGGGTGGAGGCTGACAGCTGACAACCCCCCCCATGTAATGACCTCGTGCCCCCCTGAGGCCCCCCCCCCCAGTTTGAGAACCCCTGGTCTAGGCAAAACTCCAACCTGACCTACAGGCGCGCGGCTGGTTTCCGCCGCTCAATCCTGAGCGAGGGCCGGTTGTGTAACAGACACTTTACAAACCTGGCTTCCGTTGCAGATGACTCACACTCCAAGTATGTTGGCCAGGCCAGCCCAAGGGAGCGGGATTGCAGACAAACCGCCAGCATATCCAGACCTCCTGGCCCAGCTACTCTGACGCCCTCTCAGTCTGGAATTTAATTTCCTCTTTCCCTCAGCTAAAAAGTGTCCTTGACTTCCTGCAGCAGACTCAGGCCTAGGGAAGGCAAATGAAATTCTAGCCGAGGTTTTCATGAGGCGTTTCCACCAGCTCCAAGGGCTGGAATCGCTCGAGGGAAGAGCGGCAGCAGCATTGGGAGACGGTCTGAAACCCGCCAGTGCTGTCGCTCTGCAGCCAGCATCAGGGAATCAACGTTCTCCTTGGTTGGAGGCAGAAGGGACAGGCCCCAGCTGGGCCTGGTTTCTGGGATGGGCTGAAGTTCAGTATCATTCAGCTCTGCTTCCCCTCTGGGTATGCCTTGTACATCACCAAGAGCTCAGGGACAGTAGGGTGGGACCTTTCCTTCATTGACCCTTGGTGATGGACCCACCCTATCCTCAGAGATGAAGCTTCTGTGACCAGAACACAGCTTGGGGGAAGAGTGCAATTGATTTGCGGGAGGGGAAACACCCTGATCTACTGTAGGGCTGAAAAGAGTGTGAACAGCAAGCCCTGCTCCCGCCCAGTAAGGAGCAGTCAGGCTTTGTCTACATGGGAAAGTTTGACCGGTTATACCGGTATAGCTAAACCAACAGTTGTTCCAGTATAACCCCACATGGACCCTGAGAGTCCACTATCCAAGTGGCTTTTTCAGGTTAGCTTAAAACCCTTCCTAAATGTCATAAGCAACGCTGAAAAAAGCCCCTGGTCCACTGAATTTCAGTGGTGACAAGGATGGGGCATAGTGTTACTATACTGTTCCAACTATCGATACCAAGCTGGGAGGGGTTGCAAGCACAGGCGCCAACTTCCCCCCTGTTCTGTGGGTGCTCGACGTAGAAAACATGACCTTTGAGTGAAGATTGAAAAAAACTGGGTTTGTTTAGTCTGGAGAAGAGAAGACTGAGTGGGGACTTGATAACAGTTTTCAAGTACATAAAAGGTTGTTACAAGGAGGAGGGAGAAGAATTGTTCTTAACCTCTCAGGATAGGACAAGAAGCAATGGGCTTAAATTGCAGCAAGGGCAGTTTAGGTTGGATATTAGAAAAAACTTCCTGTCAGGGTGGTTAAGCACTGGAATAAATTGCCCAGGGAGGTTGTGAAATCTCCATCATTGGGGATTTTTCAGAGCAGGTTGGACAAACACCTGTCAGGGATGGTCTAGATAATACTCAGTCCTGCCTTGAGTGCAGGGGACTGGACTAGATGACCCCTCGAGGCCCCTGCCAGTTCTATGATCAGTTTAAATTCACACCTTGGCTTAAACCAGTATAACCTTCCTTCCCATGTAGACACCCCCCCAGACTCTGAAGGGAGTGGGGGCACTGCGTCCCTCCTTTGCTCTTTGGCCAGAGGAATGGGGGAGGGTGGACAGCTCTTCCGGGTTCTGCCTGGGAGTTGGAATGTTTGTCCCCCTACCAAAGAACATACAAGGAGAGATTAGAGCTGCTGCTTCTTACGTGGCATCTTTATTATTTGCACCCACTGATTCGCTGCTACCCTCTTGGTGGCTGAATGGTCTTTTTGACCCCCCCAGGAGACCTCTCCGTCCATCCAAGATCTTATTCTGCCATCAGCTTTGCCTTCACGTGCCCATAAACATGCATCACCCGCTGAACCTATGAACACGGGCCTTGCACTAGAGGTGCTAGTGGGAGTCAAATGAATCTCAAATCATCAGCACCCACAAAAGTGGCATGGAATTTAGGTCCCTCTGCCCCGTGCAATGGTGATAGCCGGTTGAATGAGAGCAGCTCCCCCTGCTGGCCACCTGGCACAACTGCTAGGTCTATTTTTTAAAAGTGAATGAAGCGCCTCGGTTACTGATAGCCAGAGAGCAGAGCCAGGGCCAGGGCCGGTTCCTGCACGCGGCTTTGGCGCTGTCTGTTGGGACAGTCGGGTGTAATCAGCACTCGACTGCAAGGCACAGAAGGGCAGGTCCCGGGAGGCTAAGGAAGGGTTCAGAGCTGGCTGGTTAGGGCACCGTACAGACTCACCCCGCACAGGGCCAAGCCGAGCACTGAGAGAGAGCAGCCAGTACATGCTGGGCACGAAACTGAACCCGAACTCAGCCGCTGCCGATTCCAGTCCATCGGCAAAGCTCCCGCTGCAAGGGCTGGTGATGGCAGCAGCACCCGAGGGGCGTCCACATCCCCCCTTCCTCACTGCACCCTGGATCCAGGGAGGAGCGGGGGGGCACGGCTGCTTTGCTGCACTAGTGTTGTGCAATTTGGATCCGTTTCCCTGCTGCACAAGAGCTCTGCACGGGGGCTTTGTATCATCCCTATGAACAGCCTTAAGCTAACTTCAGTTCAGGCTCTGAAAACACTAGGCTGGCACTGGCAGTGCTCAGAGAATGGGGAAAAGCCCTCCCGGGTCCCCCTAGTTCAACAGACCTCGGGCCCGGTGCTGGCCCAGTGCTCAGCACCTGTGGGTGCAGGAGCCTGTGCTCCACGGAGTGACACGAGGGCTAGTGAAGCTCCCATCACGAGCCAGCAGGATTCTCCCCTACGGCGGGAAGAGCTGCTTTACCGTAGACCAGCAGCACAAATGCAGCCTGCTCGGGGACAGGCCCTTGGGCTCGAGGTGAACAGAAGAAACAGGCTTGGCAGAACAATTACCACACCGAGACAGACTGCGCAAACCGGACCTTTAACTGGCACATGCCCGCAGGGTACAGAGTCCGCCCAGGTCTGGCAGCCCGTGCCACCGCGGCCCATCCACTGAGAAAGGGGGACAATCCAAGCGATACTGATCATACAAGGGGGGTGACGGCGCTCATGTCCCCGCTCCATACAGTGTAGCCCAAAGATGTTTAGGGTGGCAAATGGAGCTGGGCCTGCTCCTGGGACGTGCTGTGGGGCAGTGATCTCTGGCTCCTAGGAGACTGCAGCCTCAGGGGGTGCAGGGAACGTCAGTCACATCAGGCAAGGGCTGCTGCTGCCTTCCTGGCTTGTGCCCAGGCTGCCAGCTCAGAGCAGCTGCCCCTCACTGCCCTTTGAGCCCACAGCAGGGTACTGCCTCTTGGTCAGGGCCTTTAGCAACAGTAAAGCAGGATGCCTCTGCCCCCAGCCCCTCCCCCCCGATACCAGACGAGCCATTTTAACCACCCAGCTGAGACCTGAACTGCGCCCGGCTGACTGACGACATGCGATGCTAGAACACGGTGTGAGAGAGAGTGGGGTCAAGAGCGCAGGCCCTCAGCCCCTGGCAGCAGGGCCCAGCAGTGCTGGGATTCCCAGTCTGGCTGTGCATGAAGATGAGACGGGAGTGATGGGAAAAACCACCAGGTCCCAAGACTCTAGTCTTGGGCGATGCGCTGCTGCAGGAGGGCCCAGGCCTTCTCCACCTGCCAGAACAAACGTGGGACAGCAAGTCAGGGTTCAGAAGCAAAAAAGGGCACCAAATGCAGCTGTGCCAGGGCGGAGATGGGCACAGCCTGCTAGAGCACTGGCGCAGGGGCAGGCGTGAACTCCACTTACAGCGCAGTACGGACAAAGCCCCAAAACCTTTCACTCATAACCCAGCCGGGGGGCAGATCTGCCAGAGGTGGCTGCAGCATAGACAGGACTTGGGGGTTCTCACTGGCCACCCACTAACACCTGATTCCGCTGAGCTAATGCAGCAATTGGGCATCTACCAGAATCCGCTGCTTTCCAAGGAGACGACCCTCATCCTGGGAAGGAAAGAGCCAGCAGCCATAGCTCCTCCATAGGGAGAGGGACACGGAAGATCTCTGGCTCCGCATCTGAGCCAACTGTAGGGGACCAGATATTCCGTAAGCCCCATTCCACTAGAGCGGAACAACGCTCTCACCCGATCTGAGCATAACCCGGCGAGCAGTGGCTTGTCCAAGGCCCTAAGGGGAGCCCAGGCAGGACTCCTATCTAACCACATGGTATCTAAGTCCTTGGCTGAAGCCGCAGGGCAGGTAGGGCTTGCATCTCTGCCAGAGGGATGGACCCCAATGGCTCCCCTCCATCCCTGCTGGCCTGTCCTAGGCAAGACAGCAAGCGCTCCTGGATCCCCAGCCTGGGGGACCCTGGGCTCTCACCTGCTTCTGGGTAGCCTCCGGCTCCCAGAGGGTGCACAGCACAACATGGGACTGCGTCACCCTCTGGGTGGTGCTCAGCTGGCTCTGCAGTCTGTTGCGAGCAGCCTCCTCACTCAGCCCGTCTCTGGCCACGATGCGGCGCAGGGCCTGCGAAGACCAAGAGGGGACGTTCACTTCCACGCGGGCGCACCAGGGGCCAATCCCGAACCGCAAATGGCTGGGGCGGGGAGTCACCTACCTCCTTCTCCGGGACGCTGGCCATCCAGACCTCATGGACCATGTCTGTCCAGCCAGCCTCCAGCAGCACGGCAACATCCAGCACACACACCACTTTACCTGTGGAACGAGGCCATTCCCCATGAGTGCTTGGGAACCACCAGCGCACACAATTCCCCGGGGCTGTTTGTACGAGCCAATCCAAGCAAGCCTGAAATGTCACGAGTTCCTGCAAACGGGCAGCGCAGACACCTTACCGCGGAGCACGAGAAGAAGAGAAACCAGCAGGCCCCAGACGGTTTGCTGCCTAGCATGTGCACACAGGCTGGGCCGGGCCATGGGAGCGTCTCCAGGAAAATGCCTGTGAGGCTAGCAATGCTCCAGGGGCGTTCCATTTCCCCAGGGAGCTAGAGGAATTCTCTCCCGGGGAAACTCACTGCTGGGATTTGGAATTACAAATGCACTCATGGCCTTTTCTGGAAAGGGAGGGGGGGCAGAGTATCCAACCATTTCATGCAAAGGCTCCCAATCCAAGTCTGGTAGCAGTTTGGCCCCTGGCACTTACCCAACTGCAGGAAGATGCAGTGGACGAGCTCCCAGTAAAGCACAGAAAGGACTGAGCTGGGAAAACCTACCAGGAAGTAGATGCAGCTGCAGACTGGGGCTTAGGACAGCAGTTACCCAGGGTCTCTGGGCTGCGCGGTGGTAACGGGATGATATGTCCCAGTCCCCTTTGGGCTCAGAGGGAAAGATCACGCTCACCCTGGTCTGCTGCTTCCTTCAGCTGCCTCTTCGTCATCTTTGCAATCACAGGCCACACGATGTCCGTGAGACACTTTAACCGCTCCTAGCAAGGGCACATGGCTGGACGTCAGTTATTTGCTTTCATACGATCAAGTGACAGATTTCCTGGGTAACCCAGCAAAGGGAGTCACCCACAAGCATCCCTCCTGCCCCCTCCTCCAAGGGCCCCACGTTTCCAGCTTGCTAGGTTAGCCCCCGATGGAAGGTGGTGATGCTGCCCTAGGAAGCAAGGTGCTCTTCTCCTCTTTCCTGCCCTGCAGGGAACAGATTCTCCGAGCGACTCCATCAGTAGTAGCCTGATCTCAGTCACTGCAAGAGCTCAGCGGAGAGGATCTATCATTATGTAACAGAGGAAGCTGAGGAAGTGGGAGTCGCAGTCCAGGCCCCAGCAGAACGGTGCCCACACAGGGCTCCCACTCAGACAAGCCAAGGAACGACGAGGTCATGGAGACTGAACTCCCCTTCCACATCTCAGCTGCAGCTCAAAATCCAGGGTTGCCAATCTCCCACTAGTGAAAGGAGGAGCACAGGAGCAGACCAGTGGTCCGTGTTCCCATCACCGTGTTGGTTAATTCTGCTCTGGGAAACCCCAGGACACACAGGGTCAATCAGCCTGGGCCACATGTATGCCAGTGCTTAGACCAACACTGGGAGATGTCGCCCTGGGAATGGGTCTCCCCTGGTAGGTGGCTTGTGCTGCCACTGCCTGGGCTGCAGAGGGGATCCGGGGATCCAGCACTGCCAACACCTTCACACTAGAGAAAAACAGCCAGTGGGAGCCGAGGGAGCAGCAGAAGCACAGAGGGGAAGATACCGAAGCCTTGGCAGCAGTGGGGACAGGAGAGGTGAAATACTGACACTGAGATGGGCGGGTTTTACCTGGTTTCCAAACACTTTGGCCCCAAGGATTTTCCTGTTAATTGTCCCATCTTCATTCAAAATGTCTGGAAGACAAAGAGGAACAGTAAAAAAAGGACTCAGTTCAGATCCTCATGGGAGAAGGGCTCCACGGGAAGCAGGAGCTGCTGAGTGGGGTCTCTGCCTGGCATTCCCTTAAAGGGATCTGCAAACAAGGTTTCAAGCCCTGGGCTTCTTTAAAGTGTAGAGAGGGCAGGAAAGGGCTTTTTCCTTCACCTTGAGAACATTAGGAATGTCAAGTCCAGCCTTCCCTGCTCTAGCTGGAGAATTTGTTGGCGGGCACAGCTATGGAGTGGGAGGTCTCCCGCCTTACCAGAAATGTCCTTTCTTCCTACGGTTCATTAGGCAGTGGAATTCAACAGGAGTTAAAAACAGCTCAATGATCTTCCTAAGAATCTCTCCCCCCTCCACTGCTCAGCTTTCACATATCACGTCACCAGGTCTCCAGGCACCGTCAAGACCTGAATGTCTTATGGAAGAGACAACAGATTTTTGGACAACCTTACAGGCTCGTCTCAAAGTCCCTTTCTCCTCACCTTCAGGCAACTTTTAAAGCAGAAGGGTGGCCAACATGCTCATGGCACAGAGGCAAGGCCTAAAAATGCTACAGACCGACATGCTAGGTTTCGTCTTAATTTAAGCATCTTCTGCTTGGTTCAAACCAGAGCAGTGGTTCTCAACCAGGGGTACAAGTGCCCCGGGGATACACACAGGTCTTCCAGGAGATACATCCACTTATCTAGAGATTTGCCTAGTTTTACAACAGGCTACATAAAAAGCACTAGTGAAGTCAGTACAACTTACAATTTCACAGGCAATGATTTGTTTATACTGCTCTGTATACTATACACTGAAATGTAAGTACAATATTTAAATTCCCATTGATTTATTTTATAATTATATGGTAAAAATGAGAAAGTCAGCCATTTGTCAATAATAGTGTGCTGTGACACTCCTGTATTTGTATGTCTGATTTTGTAAGTTTTTAAGTGAGGTGAAACTTGGGGGTCCAGAAGACAAATCAGACTCTTCAAAGGGTACAGGAGTCTGGAAAGGTTGAGAGCCACTGAGCTGGAGCACTGTATGCTGGGACCTGTGTACTAAGGATGAGGGCACCTGCAGCTGGCACCATTTTCTGCCAATCACGGGCAGCCTTTATGTTACCACAACTCTGGTTACAACACAGTCCTTAGCTCAGCGAAGCTTGGCTACCCTTGTCTTACAGGGTCCCTACCAAGCAGTTCAGGCTTCCAAACCAACCTATGTCCAAAAGAGTTCTCTGCCAGCAGCATCCTCTGGATCCCAAAGAGCTGTACGTTTGGTTCTGAGACACCACCTAGGGATGAGTCAGTCAACAGACAAACTCAAGGTAGCCTGGCGTTTTGCTGCTTCAGTGGCCGCGAATATCCAGTATAGGGAAGCACAAGTTAGCGAGCATCCTGGGTCCAGGACAAATAATCATGGATGCTGTTTACAGCCGAAGATGTCAGTGGATAAGAAAACTACCTCCAGCACTTCACTTTCAGACACTAGCTCTCCACAGCCCTGTTAGCTGGGGAAGTGCAGGGTACGCGGACTGCTCCCAAACCAAAGGAGGGAGAGATCTGGAACTCAGAAGTTACTAAGATGATTAGGGGGGAGGGATAGCTCAGTGGTTTGAGCATTGGCCTGCTAAACCCAGGGTTGTGCGTTCAATCCTTGAGGGGGCCATTTAGGGATCTGGGGCAAAAATCTGTCTGGGGATTGGTCCTGCTTTGAGCAGGGGGTTGGACTAGATGACCTCCTGAGGTCCCTTCCAACCCTGAGATTCTAGGAGTCTATGATGTGTCCCCGTCACCCTTGCTGCCCCGGCATTCTATGCAGAATATGCTCGCTGTACCTTTTCCAAACTCCTCCACCACCTGCTCATATGCAGGGCCACCTGGGGCATAGGCTTCGTGGCCCAGTTTGTCAACATCGATGAGGAAAGCTCCTAGGCGTTCCAAGTGTCTGGCAATGGAACTTTTCCCACTTCCAGTTCCTCCAGTCAGACCGATCACGTAGGGACGAGAAGGCTGGGCTGGGTCTTTCTACACAAAGAAGAGTTACAGCGTCAGAAGATTCCAAAGCTACTCAGCGCTGGTGGGGGCAGGAAGGGTTGGGGAGAAGAGGCCCTGATTGTGAATCCCCACGAGCTCTGAGGATGGATGTGAAAGCTGACAGCTCCTCCCTGGGACTGTGAGTAGAGACATGGTCTGGTCTTGGTATGGTCCATGGATGCCCCTGAGAGGGAGACCCCGGCACACCCCAGTCTCCACCACACCTCCCCCCAGACCCGCTCAACGTCCAGCTGCACTTCTCCCTGTGCTTAGTTATGGTCATGGGATCCAAACTAAGCCCAGGAACGTCACCGTCAACCTCCTTCTGGCATTAGTCCAGGAGGAGGATGCAGTTACAGGGCCCAGGGCCAGCTGACTCCAGCAACGGGCCCTGTCCAGGCCTCTCTGCTCAGCGCTCCCTTGTGTTGTCTCTATGTCCCCACTCTTATCGCCGCCCTTGTTATTTGACCCTGTTGTCTTGGTGTCACCCATTGTTGTTTCTGGTCCCCACTCACTGAGGTCGAGTAGACCAGCGTCTCTCCCCAGGGCTAGAAGCCACACAAAACCCTACAGGCCGGAGGTCGCTTGGCAAACGGACGGGCGTCGCGGCTGCAGAGTCTCCAGTTACTATGCCTTCCTACCTGTGGCAGCTGCAGCAGCGTTCCAAGCAGCCTCTGCCGGATGCTGGAGGAGCTGATCTTTTCCTCTTCGTTCTCTCCGTGCCCGAGATCTTTAACCAGCAGGATCTCGTGGAGGGCCAGCTCGGAGAGCCCCTGCAAACAGAATGTGCAGCACAGCGTGGTCAGAGGGTGGAGAGCCACCAGCAGCCCTTCAGTCAGACCGGCCCCCGAGCAGAGTCACAGTGAAGGCAGCATCTTCACACCAAGCTCTGGAGGCCCCCTGCAATCAGCCGGCCTGTGGGCAGTTCTGCAAGGAGGCTGGAGGTTGCTGCCTCCCACGATTAATCCCCACCTGCCTGCGACTGGGCAGTGCTACAGGCCGCTGCTGGGCAAGGACTGGGGTGACAGAAGGGGACTCTGGAGTCAGGCGGGAAAGCAGCCGCCAGAGAAGGGGAGGGTCCCAAGGAATCAGGAGCCTCTTTCTACCTACAGGACACAGCTCCCCTACTATCCTTTGGGGCCAGGCCAACAAGTAACTGCCTGGGCCCAGGAGAGAGCTCCCCTGGGGCAGGCTATTCCAGAATTGTCCATTAAGGGGATCCATGCACTGGGCACCAGCTGCTGTTGCAGACAGAAATCTCCTGCTGGGTCCAGGGCCCATCTGATGGGGCTGGCAGTTCCTATACGTGACAGTGGACAGAGAAACAGAGCCTCAACAGGGACTGCTGAGTTCCCAGGTGC